TCCACAGAGGGAGTAATGTCAGTAAAACACCACCTTAGTTAGAAACAACTAACACACACAGCTCTAAGCTGCCATCTCGCCCACCAGCCCTGTCTGCTTGTTGGCAGGTCGGTCAAAATGAGCAATCGACTGCCGGTGGGTGGGACCATTCACTCTACAGCACGGAGGGGAGGGTGGTACCTGGAACAGGGCAGAGGCAAGCAAAACACCATCTACTCGCTATACTTGTGGTACTCGGATGGATTTCAGAGAGCTTTGAAACACGTGGGAATTATTGGTATCGGAGTCTCAAAAACGTTTCGATTGACTTCTTGTTGGGTTTTCATCTGTGTTTATGGAATGGGAGACTGTTTGACGTTTGCTTTACAATGAAACTGAATAAGGATAGTTACCCTGCAAGACAAGATAACATCAGAGGCAACGAGATAATCATTGCAAGACGAAACACTCTTCTCGGGGAAGAGTTTTTATCTTTTTTATACTCATGAATGTCCCTGGTTAAAGCCCTACATAACTGATTAATGTTTCCTACAGTTAACTGTCTTTTATGGAGTGACATGTTACATCAATACAACCTGGTTTCAATCGAGGTTGATTGAGAAAGAGCCTGGTTGTCACCAGTCCTGGTTTGGAACATGATCTTTTGGCCCTAATATACTGGTAATATAATGTGGTAAAGCACATTTCATTCTGTTTTTAAGATAGAGAAGATTCCTATGTGGCCTTTATTTACATAAGCTGGCTGTAACAGGCTTACAGTCAGTTCTGGATGATTTTCCATATTGCTTGGGATCTTCTGTATGTCCAGTTCTGTCCTCCAAGTGTTTTGAAAGAGATACTTTTGACTTCTCCCTTTGCTGATTGTCTTATATTTTTATTAACCAGTTTCAATGCAGAGTTTGTCTTTTTCTCCAAGTTCAGCTGAGATTACGTGAAACCAGTCCTTTGTTTTTGATCTATGCAATAAGATAAGAAAACTTTATTTGTCACATATGGGAATTGCAGTTTGCAAGAAAGAGGTCGAATAAAAAATAACAAGAGCCAAAGATACTTATAAGATAAATAATGAAATGAAGGCATGAGCAGATATGGGGCCCGGTGTTGCAGTTGAATAGGGATGCAGGAGTTTGTTTTTGCCATTGGTCACAAGGGTAATGGGTAAGTGCAACAACACGGCACGGCCACAGCAAGAAAAGCTAACAGAGGAAGACGGGGAAAAAGAAAATCCTGCAGCACGCATCACCCCCGCGACAGAAGGATCTCTTCCCAGACAATGGAGAGCTTTAAAACAGCACTGAAGCATTTGCAAAAGTTCTAAAACAGCCAGCATTACGCACCGTCATTGTGATTCTGCTACATGTCTTGTTTGACAAGAACTTCTATTGCACTGCAAGAACCAGCGCTCGGAGCTGCTGTTTATACATGTACCTGCAGCTTTTTAATAATTTCTTAAATCTGGATCGGACTGCGCTTTCGACAGCCTTGAATACACATGGGGCGTATCGTAAAGAACTTATTGTTGATGTTATATGGTATCCATTATCAAAGCAGTTTTCTTGGATCCCTGTGGGTTTATGTGGTATAATCGATGGAGCTGGTATGTTTGCTGTGGGAAAAACCCAGACTTGAACTAACAGGCCACAGTAGTAGCCTGCAAAGACAAGACAAATGCACAGACAGAGGACATATCATTGCTGAGCTGAAAAATCATCTAGGTGAGTTTTATTTTTTCATTTTATTCTTTATTTTTATTATTTGTGAATCTGATTGTCTTGTGAAAGGCATGTAAATAACCTGTTATTGTTGGATTTTAAGATGTTTCTTATTGATCTCCCGTGGGGAAATATAAAGTTTTCTACAGTTAGATCTGTTTTTTTAGATGGAATGTTACTCAAGAAACTGGTTTCCCAAATCAGTGGATTGAGAAAAAGCTGGTTGTACCGTTTGTTTGACGAAACATGACTTTTTATACTCCTAATATACTTTTTTTATCAACATGTTGGGAGGTGAGCACGCCGATTCTGGGAGAAATCCATTATGAAGAATTATTGTTCATACATAAAAACGGATTGATCTGAATCAGAATCAACTTTTATGGCAGGTAAGTGTGCACATACAGGAATTTGACTCGCTTTACGTTGCTGCTCAAACGTGACAAACACAGACTAACAGTTTAAATAAACAGAAGAAGTTCAACAAAAAAAAGAATAGACTAATTGAAGTGAAGATGCTGAAAAAGGATGCTGAAATAAATATTTTAGAGAAGAAAGAAGGGCATACGCGCATCATGAACTGCTAGATGCTTATGGTACCAAGCATTAGTACTGAAAATGCTGATAATACAAGATACTATACATAATATACACCTGTTTTGATGCTTGTTTGTTCAGTTTTTTGGCTGCTTCTTCTAGTCTGTGTCACAACTGCACTGGCCTTATGTCGCCAAATTCCATGGAAGAACATGCTGCACTGCTGGCTATTTTTAAAAAATCAACATTGTTCAAGAAAAAACTTGATCTTAATCGATTTTACCGATTAATTTTGGAAAGAAGGAGCAGATCTGGTGAGAACAAGCTGAGAAGCTGCAAAACAAAGGCTGCAAAGAAACGCCCCGCACCCGATCAACCTATGTGACTAACGAAGAGTGGGCAAATCTGTTTGTGACGTTGGTTGGAGAGTTCTTAATTGATAGAAATCTCCCTGGTGCGAGGAGAAGCGGACGCGGGAGGAACCCTCTGTCTTGCGCGCCGACAGGCGAGACCGTGGGGTCTTGCCGGACCGTACAGGCCGAGTACCTCGTCTTCTTCCGAAGGCCGAACCTCTTCTCGACCCAGGGCGAGGACCTCTGTTTTCATCGGACAAGGGCCGAACCTCTTGCGAGCCGGGGAGAGCGAGCCGATCTTAGTTGTCCGGCCACAGGCCGAACCCGGCTTGCTTCCCGGGCCGTGATACGAGGCGAGAACGCGTCTGCTGTGCCGACCCATGCGAAGCCTCTTGCGTTCGGATCCGACAGCGGTACCTGTTCTGGCGGGACCACAGCCAGCGCCCTTCTTTCGATGCTGACCGACTAGGTCGACCTCTTCTTCCGGCCACAGGGCGAGACACTCTGTTTCCGGACACAGGTCCGAAGGGCGCACCTCTTCATGCGGGGACGACAGCAGAGTCCCTTCTGCGGACCACGAGTCCGAGCCCCTCGCATCTGGGGACCAGGCGGAGCCGGGTCGTCTACGGAAGCGCGGGCGAGGAGTGCCTCTTGTTCGGAGCGGCGAGGCCGACGGTCGGCTCGCGGAGCGACGAGCGGAGCGTCTTGCAGGTCCGGACCGGGAGACAGGGGCGAAGCGTCTATGCGACAGCGAGCGCGAGAGCGTCTTTGTCTGTCGGACAACAGGGCCGGAGGACCTCTTGCTGCCCGGACCACAGGCGCACCGCGGTTCTTCCGGACGAAGCAGGTCGAGAGCCTCGTCGTCGCGCAGCGACGGCTCGCGGCACAGGGCGAGCTCTTCTCGGACCACAGGCGGGACCCGTCTCTTTCCGACACGGAAGGCGAGACCTCTTCGGCGGGACCACGGGCCGAACTTTGCGGTGGGCCGACGCGGACGAGGGCGAGACGTGCCGTGTCGTCCGAGCACAGGGGGTCGAGACCGTCTTCTTGCCGGGAGACCGACAGCGAGACCCGTCTTGATGCCCCGGGAGAGAAGCAGGCAGGCTACGCGGTCTCCGATGCTGGACCGGGGACGGGCCGAACTTTCTTCTGGGACCACGGAGGCGACCGGTCGTTATGCCGGACGCAGCGGCGGAACCCGGTCTTTCTTCCGAGACCCGGCGGCGAGTGCCTTTGTTCTTCCAGACCACTAATTAAACTTCATCTTCCATGTTCTTATCAGATAGACGTGTATCTCAAATAAGAAAATTATTTTGATAGAAGAAAGTGATAATCAATTGCTTTGATGATATACAGAAATCATGTTTCCTCCTTCTTTCTATTGTATTGGACACCTCTATATTATGATATTTCTTATTTATGAATGTTGGTAAAACCAGTGATTGGTGGATTTGAGCAAATATTCTGTTGAATATGACAGAGAAAAGTTTCCTGGATATTTTTGGAATTTTTATACAATGCTGTTATTTTTGTTTTTTAAAAACATAAATACTAATTTTTTGACAAATTCGGATGCTTTGGCCCTCTAGTTTAAGGGCGAACAGTCTTACAAAGCTGATTCATAGCCAGATAAAAAAAAAAAAAAAAAAAAAAAAAAGAATATGGTAAAAAAAAAAAAAAAATAGAAAACAAAAAACAGCATATAATATAGATCATTAATGAACAAGTGTAGATCTGATGTATTATTTATATATGACCATCAATCATGGCACATATAGAAGTTTATCCTTTGAAAAAACAATAAATGAAAATTATGAAAAAACCAAACACTGTATGATGTACGCAGCATGATGATACACTACAAAAAACAAACAATACAAAAAGTAAAAGAAGCAAAAAGTTACCAAAAAACAGTAATCTTAATAATGAATATAATACAACTTTTTTTAGAGAGAAATCAGAAGAATATCACTAGAAAGCCAGAAATATTTGTTTGATTGAAACAATGTTTAAATTAATTTTTCTATTCAATTTTAAATTTGAACTATGAATTAAAACACAGAATACGTCATCAACTTAATGTATGCATAGGCTATAACCCTTATATTATATATATAGTTATATATATATAATAATTCAGGGATTTTTCAAAAGTATTTTTATACTTCAATTGATTTTTAGTTAATTCATTTATAAGATTGGCCTATTTATTAAATGAACATGAGTTAATTATAGTGTGGGCACTCTACAGACTCCATACTTTACTCCAGCACTTCACTATAAACTTTATGTTTATTCTCTGTTGTTATTACAGCTGCGGAGGGTTTCAGCCGCGCAGTGAATCATGGGAGATCAGGTGTGACCATCCTCCTCTCGTTCCACTCTGCGGTCTCTTTGATCTCTGCTGTCGCCAGTTTCCTCGTTCTTCTCCTTCTTGTTGTCGCCAGATCCTCCTCCGTCCTCCAGAACCGAGCTCCTGCGGCCAGAACCCGTCCGACCCGGATCCCACCGCGACCCGACAACAGTACCGGTACCAGACCCCCGGAGTTTAAAAAAACGACTTTAATCTCGCTTTTTGTCGCTACCTGCCGCCGCTCACCTGTCGCCGCTCACCTGTCGCCGCCATCATGATGTCAGCGGGGCGGTAATGGCAGCAGAGCGCGAGACTCACCGGGAGACAGCGCGAGACGAACCGAGGACGGAATAAGAGACAAAAAGGGGGACCTGAAGCGACATGGATTTACTGGACTCAGGACAGAAGTTCAGTCCCAGACAGGTGAGTCCTCTACCTGGAACGGTGACCCGGCGGTGACGTCACAGCCCCTACAGGTTTCACCTGAGATTAAAAACCGAAACTATTAAAGATAAATGTGATTAAAGTATCAATAACCATAATGTACAGGTCAGTCTGCACTGGGTTCAATGGTTCTGGGTTCTGTTGGATTACAGTGGAGTAAATATTAATCGATTCTATTTACAGGACACTTACTGAGTTTGACTTCTTTAACCAATTCATGTAAAGTGAATCGATTGATCGATTGGTTCAAGCTGTAACATCTTCATGTGTAATGGACGGAGGTTTCTGTGTTCAGCCTCTGTGGAGATTTCTTTTACATCAAACTGAGGTGGTATAAAGAAACAATCTGTTACACAAACACACACACAATTATAAACTAGAAACATAAAGATGATCAGTGTGTCTCTTCCTCCTACAAAAATAAAAGCCCTGTACAGTAAAATGATTTTAACTGGAAACTGAGGACGGTTTCAAAATAAAAGTCTTAACAGGAAACTAAAGATACATTTATTTCTCTCTCTCTCTCTCTCTCCATGCACACCAAGGCACATTCAGAGGCACTTTACAGGCTGACAGATGAAGCAGAAACAGTAAAAGCACCATCAGTAAGAAAACACAGCAAAATGAAACCGGTGGAACAATAAAACAGAGACAAAGGTTTTAAAGGATGGCAGTGAGGGGGAGAGTCTGAGGAGCTGGGGGGAGGGAGGGACTTCCAGAGGGAGGGGACAGCGATGGCCCTGTCCTCCCCAGGGTCCGGTGCTCGGAGCGGGTGAGAGGGTGAGAGGATGAGAGGGTGAGGAGGTTGCTGGTGCTGGAGGTCAGTGAGGTTGTTGAGGGCGTTTCATACAAAGAGGAGAATTTAGCACAAAACAACACATTTAAATATTATAGAGCAAATATCTGATGGATAAATCAAACAAAGTGATGGTGAAAATAATGAACAGCGACAGGAATCAATAGTTTTAAAAGTACAGTGTATAATTCCTGCCACTAGGGGGCGTCTCACAGGTGTGTCTTTGAGCAGCTGTAGAAATAGAAATGTGTCGGAGCTGCTTTAACCTTTTGTAACAGGGTGTGTGTGTTTAACACTGCTGCAGGGTGCAGGACACAACATGCTGACAGGCGATACACAAGTATCAGTATATTCAGTACATTCCTAACAGCTACACCCTGCTTCACCTGTCACAGCTGATTGTTCACACAGAGAGCAGCCTGGGTAATAACCTCACTGCAATCATACTGATCAGAATACACTATCTTTATTGATTATTGATCAGTATACACTGTATCTTTATTGATTATTGATCAGAATACACTATCTTTATTGATTAT